TTTGTCCTTATTTCTAATCAATATATATTACCTATAGGCATCTATTGGCGTGGCCAGGACCTTAATGCTGCGGTTATAGCTTTCGAAGGTACTCAAGAACATAGGTATGCATGTTAACTTTAGCAATTATACCTCTTACATTTGACATGCGAAGGATTTGATGAAAATTTAAGCTAAGAAGAGTAGCCTCCGGTGAGTGCGTACACAAAGCACATGGGTCTGCTGTCCATAAGAAGGGAAAACAGTGAATCATTTCCACTGAGACATGAAAGTTATGTGCTTGTAAATTTAGAAGGAGTCATGAGGAGATCACATACTTCACTAATTTTTGTTCTTGGAAAAGTTGTTTGAACTTTTCAGTTAGTGGTTACTTCTATTTATGTCTACAGCATACAGAACTGGGTTGAAGATTTCTACTGGAAACAGCTTGTCCTAAACTACCCCCGCATGCCTGTAGCCATGGTTCTAGAGATGATGAGCCTCTTGCAAGTTGTGGATACTTCTGATTTGGAATGAGTTACAGTCTTATTCTATTGTCTTTGCTTAGGTTCATCATGGATTTATTATGCTTGTCGGTATACGACGGTGCAACCTGGTACTTTGGATGCTGTTAGAAGAGCCAAGGATTTGACATCAACGTCATGGTGACAGGGCATTCTATGGGAGGGCCTATGGCATACTTTTGCGGACTTGATATCATGGTAAGATAGTTAAAAAACTTGTTATGGGTTCAGATATTGGTTCTTCTCTATTGTGTTCTTCCATTTATTCAGTTTTGGTCTGTTAAGAGTTACCCGGAATTCTCTGCCAACTCTGCCTTGAAGAGTCTAGACTCTGGAGACTCTGGATATCTTGAACTTTCTATGGCTTCATATTTATATTTACAATTGGTCAGCATCTTGTTTTTTTTCTTTTTTGGTAAATCAACCCGTAGACAAAACACAAGCAGAATGGGTTGCAAACAACCCTTTACCTGAACCATCTATGGTCTACGTATTTAGTTGTGTGAATTGTCTTACATGTTAAGCCATGGAGCTTAAAGTTGGTTGAATACCTAAATATAGTGGATAAAGACTTCCAACTAATCATTACAAAGTTTACTTGCTGGAAACTTTATGGGATTATTGATTTGTTTATGGTCTCGATATATAACTTTTGCAAGCGCCTGAAGCTCAAATTTCATGTCATGTAATCTTGAATTGCTAATGCTTTTTAGACTAGAATATATTGATCCTAAATCTGTGTTCTGTGCGCTGTTTCTGTCTGTCTCTTTCTAACCAAAAGAAGCAGCTCCTTTTCAGTCGGACTACTGGCCAGATATGTTGTAGGCTGGAACCAATTCTAAATGTCTAACTTATGCTTTTTGTCTCAGCTTTATTGGACAAAGTGGTCCAGAGTTTTCTAGGCACCTGTTGTGGAACTGGTACCATAAATGGTACCCACCCCAAAGTCATGTCCCATTAATTCTCTTCTCCATGACAAATAGTGATTTTTTAGGGTCAAACTTTGTCTTGAACTCAGATTATACAGACATTCACGTGGCCTATGATAGGATCATAGGTTGGATGAACTTTAGACTAAACCTTTTCTCGAAGTATTAATAGCAACTGCGACATCTTGTCTGAACACTTGGATGGTTTAAGATGTCATTTTTGTTTGCTGGTTTCTTGCTGAAAATTGTTGTGAGCCGATTGTGACGTCATGCCCATGGGTCGTGGCCCTTTCCATGCGTAGTGGCCCTTTTTAAGATTTTGTTTCTCCTTTACTATTAATGACCATAAGTTTTGGGTTTCTAGAGGCAATTTCACCACGAACCTGGAATTTCTTGTTTATGTCAGTAGGATATGACTCACCCCACCAACATCCAAGTGCTTCTTGTGGAAGCATTTAAATGCGCCTTGGTTGAAAATACACGCCCAATACCACCATTCCATATTATTAACACCTTTTTTGGATGTGAGGGTGGTGGGGTGGGTTTTGTTGTGGCTGTGGGGTTTAGTTTTGGGAAAATTATGGATGGGATCTAGACAAATTAACACTAGACCTCCAACCCTCATGGAGAGAAAGGGTTGTTCTATCGTTCACCTTCGTATGTGAGATGCAATATATGGTTATTGATGCATAGTAGTTTTTCCCCACGTGAAAGTATTAACATTCAAGTAATTTGGCTGTCTAATTATGTGTGGTGGAGCTGTTTTTTCCAGACCAGTGCTCACTTGATTTACTTATATTACTAAGGACACTTAATTTCCAGGCAAATCATGAAGCACAGATTGTCCAGGTTTTTACATTTGGACAACCTAGTATTGGCAATGCAATGTTTGTTTCTTACTACTGCATGCCAAATACTATACAAATAACTAATGGACATATATTGTGCCTCATTTGCCTCCGTACTATTCTCAGTTCCCACAAAAGACATACCATCACTTCCCTAGGGTGGTATGACTTTGATCTTGACGGAATATCAGATAAATTATGGGGAATTGTCGTTGACTGCATTTGACATTTCCTTTGCATTTATTTCAACCTATCTAACCGGAGAAGTCTTATTTTTTCCAACAATGTTCATACTCTCGTTTTTTTCAGCATATAATTTTATAGGTTTTGTTTGTTTTATCTTCTCAACAAAGCAGGGGCAGTTCATAGTACTCGGGACCTTTTTAACAATATTTAAGGAACTCTTCTCATTCCTATAAAGCTATCATGAGTTTCTCGTACCAATTCCAAATTTAAGACGCGTAATAATGTGTATTGCTCTCTCTCTCTCTCTCTCTCTCTCTCTCTCTCTCTCTCTCTCTCTCTCTCTCTCTCTCTCTCTCTCTCTCTCTCTCTCTCTCTCTCTCTCTCTCTCTCTCTCTCTCTCTCTCTCTCTATGATGGTTGATGACCTAGTCTTAAGCTCTGTGCAATTATAAGGTATTAATCATTTAAATTATGTATGTCTACTAATGCCTATAATATTGACAACTAGCTCAATGACAGTCACGGATAAACATATTGATGTGAGATAATGTGAAAATAATTTGATTCCACCTGCTTGTCTGGTGATAATCTTACTCTTTTTTATGTGAGTGTTCACATGTAATTGGAATCCTTCTTTTTTTGTAGGTACGGCTGTGTAATATAAGATTTGTTTGTCTGGTTTATTAGGTCAAGAAAGTTTGTGATGGCTCTGGAGAAGATCCAATTTGCAGCAGGTAAGGAGGTAGCTTCAGTCATAGCTACCTGTTACAAGCAATTATTTTGTGGATTTATCATGCTAGGTGCAATAAGTCATGTGACAGATCGGCTTGTTCTAGAGAATGCCAGTCTTTTATTACCGGAAATATTTACGGATGACTTATCATAGTATGTTTCTGCAGATTGGTAACTGGTAATAGCCTCACGGACCATTTACTCTACTATGGTGCAAAATTAATGGCGGAGACGTGGGGATCGTGCAAAATTGTCATGGACCCACGATTCAAGGAATATGGAAGCGAAGACAAAGGAAACCTTATGCTTTCCAGGAATCCTTCTTCTTCTGCATTGAGGCTGCGTTAAGACTCCGATGCCAAGAGTAACTTAACGTAAAATTCTCCCAAGTCAGCACCTAATTTCGTGAAGATCATTAGGTAACTCTGGATGAAGTTTGTTCATGTAATGCATTCCATCAATCTGTTTCCATGTCCATCACAAGATGCATAGGATCTCTACTAAAATTCACTTGGAATGTAAATAGCATGAAGTTGAATGTATCATCCTTGTAAATGCAACTTTGTGGTACATATTGAATGAATGCGCTCGCAAGTTTACCTGTCAATCTAATCTTGGGCCTGTGGCATTTTTTACTAGACTCAATAAAACCTAATTAGGATGTGTGGATGCTGAGCTGAGCTATCCACAGCTAAATCACGCCGCTCTTTTCTTTCCTTTTTTTTCTTTTTTTGGGGGTCGAACTTGTGTTGAACTTCACAAAATTAGCAGAACTTTGTGAATTCTGGGACTGTTAGACTTGCATGGTTCAGAGGTTAACCGGTTTTACAAGGCGAAACAAAGATTGTCTAGGGAGAACACTTTTCAATCTGTGACCTTACCTTCTACTACTGGCTTAATGGCACATAAAAGATTTCTCGGCGCAACCAAGTACTTCGACTGTTCCATGGCAGGACAGATAAATCAAGCCATCTCGGAAAAAAATGATCTTATCTGAAGTTTGCGTCATTTCAATTGGCGACCTCCGCTGGATTTCAACCTTTAGGAGGTAAGCAATTTATATCATCTTTGTTTAGAAATGTAAAAATGATCTGATCGGCCTTTGGAACGAAAGCTATAAGCTTTTACCTTCTATTTTTGATATGCCGGAATTAACATTAGTGAAAACCGGAAAACCGAAATTCCTTCATCATTTCAAAGCATAAATTGCCAATTGTGAACATTCAAAGCACGTTGTGCAAGAGACCAGTTAAGTCCTTGACACTATATGATAAGCTATAGTTTGTACATTATAATAAAAGCTAAAGTACAGCACCAAAACGTTGAGAAAGATACGCTATCGTCAAATCTACGAGTTACCTGCGCTAGCCCCAGCTTACCTTTGCAATAAGAACCCGGAAGTTTTTCTTGCTTATTACCAAGAGAAAGAGCTCAGGCCGACATATAGGACTCTTTTGTCATTTAGCGATTCTCCTTACCAATGTTGAAACCTAAAGCTCCATACCTAGGTAACCGAAAATGAACAAAAGAGCTTTTATCAAACCTACACGTTTGACTATCCTTCATTGTTTAAGGTATAGCAAAGTTAAGTTTTACAAGGCATGGTTATTAAGTTCAAATTTAAAGTACAAACCAGCAAGTTCCAAGGATCTCACATAAATGACCCACGTGTAAATTGACAAAAGTAATGCACTTTAATGCAGTAACACTAGCATCAATTTGACTTGTCTTTTATTGGTAACTCAATTAGCCCACCAAAACCGTCAAAAAGTAATATATCTAAACCAAATCAAACTCATGAAATAGATCAAAAGAAACCACGGTCCCATTTCATGAGCAGTTTACAACGTCCATCTTAAAGGTAGAAAACGGCTGCAAAAACAGCCAGTAATAACTATGCCTACAACAATAGATTTCATGTCAACTTGCCAAAGTGTGATTGTAATTTATGTATAACAGATAACGATCCCAGGAAAGACTACAGTGAATATCTCTTGAGATGACATAGGACAATAAGAAATTTGTTTAAGTTTCAAATCTTCCTTGACAACAGACTTAGCTTTGGATGCAGGACCTTTCAAGTACCACATGCACTTCTTATTGGAAAATGAACTTCTCTGCTGAGCATGTCTTCTAAATTTTTCAAGAAATGGCTGAATCTTCTAAGCAAGCCAGACATTGCATCAGTTGAACCTCTTCAAGTTGAAACGATCAGAGGCCTCACGCATGTTATCCCTTTCTGCGAAGTATTTCAACCCGATCAACTCACATTAAGGATGGCAGTGCCTTCAATCAACAAAAAGCACTGATATTCAATGACAAACAAAAAGCGCTGAGAATTTCGAGATCCTTCAACGCTTGATATTCAGCATTGAAGAATTCAGTAATGCCCGAACATCACAGATGTTACCCATGAGTGCATTCAAACGATTCTTCTGGTCAACATCATCAAAAAGGATGAGAATTCCTTAACAAAAAAGCATATCTTTAATTGTCTTGATCCCTTCATCAACATTACTTATTTCTGTCAATTTCCTTTTGAGGATATTGGAGATGAGTTATTCTGCACGACTGAATGCCCTCGAGCTCTTAAGTTTCACGGATGTTAGAGAAAAAGCAATAGTGCTCAAAACCATGTGAAAGCTGATTGTAGATAAGTTCGGCGAGAGTCGTCTCTCCAACAAGGCCCATTCCATGAATTCCAACAATTCATGTTTCTTGTGTTGTGAGTGCCTATCATACTCATGACAAAGACTACCTTGAACACCATTTTCACATCGAGAGGTCCATGAACTGGTTTTCGCAAGAGCAACTAAGACTGCCTTGAGCACCACTCTAAGCACACAATTTTTCTCCCGGTCCAGACAATCCCTTCAAGTGTTTTCTCATAAAAGAACATCTGGGTACTGATAAGCAAGTTCTATTGCATAACAATGAAGAGAACACACATTTAGATGAAATGTAATAATCATTTTTTCAGCCCACAATAAAGGAAAAAAAATCAGGTTTGCCTAAATAGCTTTTTTACCCTCCAAAACAGATGAATACAGGGTTTACCACCCCAAAATTGTGAGAGGGAACATGATCAACATCAAATTTCATCCATCATCTGCCTTTCTTCGGTCTCCATCTATACAGCTAGGCTTCTATTACAGATAACCACCTAGGCATAACCATTTCAAGAAAATGGAGGCAATAATGGAGATCACACAAGGGTCGATTTTCATGATTTCAAACCCCAAGTGAGACTCCTCACATGTCCGATACACCGATAATACTGAAATTTAGCCTCAACTATAATATGATTTATGATACCTTGGCCAAGCTAAATAGTTCTCCTCTCCTGTCACAGATGGAAGCTTTGCTACACCAACTATTGATGCCGCTACCCAAGTGAAATTCCTCTTTCTTCATTTTATAACTTCTCCATAACATTTGCAAATCCCGCTAAGAAGCACACCTTTCCTGAAAAATAAATTGAACATAAGCATATCAATACAATGTCTTCTTCACAATAGCAACAATGAGTTAATTATGCTGTAATATTCCAGGATGAGAACCATAGTGCTATGACCTTCCAACACACATTACATCTAATTGTTTACAGTATAGCAAAGTTATCTCCAATGTGAAGCAGAGGGTATCACCTTCGAAATATGTGAAGCAGCAAATCGACAAGGATATCTAATGAATTGTCATAAATCAAATAATAACGATGCAATCCACATGCATACCTCCAGCTGGGAAACATAAAAGCAAGGAGAAACCATCCACAGAGAATATAGCTAAAAAAGCGAAACCAAACTAGGAAAAAAAAACATATATTTGTACATAATTAAGAACCCTCTGGTTATACGGAGGTACCATAATTTCAATACCTTCTTCAGATTTCCAGGCATCAACTCATAAAGTAAATAAAAAGAGGACATAAAACTTCACTTTGGATGTCATTTTCATTTTCCTTTATTCGGTCTTCATTTGTACAATGCCCAATTAGCCACGCCTCCTTGCGCAATAAGATTTCGTGAGTTTTTCAAACTTTAATTCCTCTCAACATCATTAGAAATTGGCAAAAAGGCAGTTTGAGATCTCTCACTTAGCACTTCTTGTCAATCTTAAAACCTAAAAGAATCCTCTAGTATAACCGAGGTGAATGGAAGGGCTTTTATGATAGATAATCACCGAGGCATAACCATTTCTAGAAAATGTAGGCAACAATCGAGATCACACAAGAGTTTCATTTACATGATTTCGAACCCCAAGTTAGACTTATCATATGTCCGGGGCGTAGGTAACGATATTACTGAAATTTAGCCTTAACTGTAAGACGATTTATGATACCTTGGAGGTGGAAGTTTTGCTGCACCAACTATTGATCCGCTACCCAAGTAAAATTCCTCTTTCTTCATTTTATGACTTCTCCATAATATTTGCAAATCCCACTAAGAAGCACATCTTTCCTGGAAAATAAACCGAACATAAGCATATCAATACGAGTGTCTGTCCCTCTTCACGGTATCTTTGTAAAGTTTCGGGATGAGAACCATAGTTATTATATGACCTTCTGACACATATTCCATCTAATTGTTTACAGTACAAGGAAGTTATCTCCAATGCGAAGCAAGGTTATCAACTTCGAAATAAGTGAAGCAACAAATCGACAAGGATATCTAATAATTTGTTACAAACCAAACCAAATAAAAACGATGCGATCGACCTGCATACCTCCAATTGGGAAACATAAAACCAAGGAGAAACCATCCAAAGAGAATGTGGCGAAAAAAGCCAAACCAAACTAGTAGAAGGGAACGAATGTCTGTACATAATTAAGAACCCTCTGGTTGTCCGGAGGTATCATAATTCCAATACCTTCATCAGACTTTTAGTCATCAACTCGTGAAAAGGTAATTAAAAACTGCATGTGAAACTTCTCTGTTCATATCCGTGAAAGAGTTTGATTGCAAAAAAGGGAAAACATTGGTTGTCAGATGAACTAACTTACCTCAATTCGTTTAAAGTTTGCACGCGAGGGAACAATTTGTGGTCGGCGATCAAGAAGCTTTCAAGAGCAACGTGCACTTATCCGTCAGTCTTCTCCCTCAGATCCATATTCAAATTCGTATCCAGATTCGTCATCTTGTACCTCTGATTCGTCTCTGTCTCCCACAAATCTGACTGCCTTCTCCGAGCAAAGCAAAGAAATTGCCTCCACATTTAATTTCCCGCATTGCCATATATCAACAGATCGCAGTCCCTTCAAGCTTGATAGATCAGGCAACTTCTGTAAAGATCCACATCCAAAAATACTCAATTCTTCCAAACATTGTGGTAGTTCGCCTTGAATCTCAACCAGATTACTGCAGTTCCACAGATGAAGATACCGTAGTTGGTTGAGATTACTTAGATCAGGTAATATCCACACCTGTTGAAGTTCCGAAAGCTGCAAATCTGGGTTCTCCGAACCATCAAGGCCTCGAATCTCTGAGATTACACAGTCAGTAATCCAAAGATTTGATAGGTTCGTCAAATTCGATAGATCCCCGGGGAAAACAAATGACTTGCAACCATCCAATCTCAATAATGATAAACTGGAGGGAAGGCTCAGGCGGCAACGCAGATTAGGGCACCAGAGATCAAGTGTTTGGAGTCGGGGAAGGAGACTCCTACAATCTGTGGGTAAGGCGGTCATGTGTTTAGAGTGCAAACCCAAGGATAATAAACTAGAGGGAAGGCTTGGGAGGCAACGCAGATTAGGGCACCAGAGATCAAGTTTTTGGAGTCGCGGAAGGAGACCGATATCTATGGGTAAGGCGGTCATGTGTTCAGAGCCCAAATACAAGGATAATAAACTGGAGGGAAGGCTCGGGAGGCAACGCAGATTAGGGCACCAGAGTTCAAGTCTTTGGAGTTGAGGAAGGAGACTACTAATATCCGTGGATAAGTGGGTCACACGAGAAGAGCATAGGTCCAGAGTCTCCAGTTTGCTTAAATTCCCAATCCCCCCTGGCATCGGATATTCTTGCACAGGCCCATCAGATTCCCAACCAGCATCATGTTCGCTAAGCGACAGCTTCAATTCCTTTAAATTAGTCAGGTTTGAGAGATCCGGAAACGTATCCATATGCAAGTCAGACAACTTTAGAATGATAAGACTTTCAGGAAGCCTCGGTACCACGTATATTGCAGCATTCCGCAATTTCAAGATCCTTAGGGATCGATTTCTATAGATGCAATTGCCAATTTCCACTTTCACATTGAAATCCTCTGTAAATCGGACATCTATTTCTTCGAGCTTCTCAATTGTCCAGAAGGCATCGGGTATTTTACTTATGTCATTCAAATCCATCTTCGCTACTTTCAAATTTTTCAACTTTCCGATGGAATCGGGTAGTTCTTTGATCTCCGTTTGGGTTATATCCAGCTCAATCAGTGATTCCAAATTTCCGATGGAATCGGGTAGTTCTTTGATCCCCGTTTCGGATATATCTAGCTCAATCAATGATTCCAAATTTCCGATGGAATTGGGTAGTTCTTTGATCCCCGTTTGGGATATATCCAGCTCAATCAGCGATTCCAAATTTCCGATTGTATCCGGAAGCCTCTCGAACGATGTGCAACATTTCAGAGATAGGTATTCAAGGCTCGCAAGATCTCTACCTAGCTCGTCTGGCAGCCTCCGAAGATTGTTACAAGAGCTTACATCTAAGGAAACTAGGCTTTTCAAATGACAAATCGACCTATCAATATCAGTTAATGATTCACAGCCCTTTAGGATCAATCGTTCTAAATTTACCTCAGCAGAGAAGATGGGAGTTCTCTCCAAGCAATCGCATCCGGTCAAATTCAAAATTTTCAAATTCTTCATCACCTGTGAAAAGAAAAATCATGCAAAGATTATTTTTGAATCTCATAAGACGGAATAATAAGTGTTGTCTAGCATATAACATACCTCCATATGGCTCCACCCCTTCCAATCATCCGTAATTTCACTGTCAGATAGATCAAGAATAACCACATTCTCCATGGAGAAATTTGCAATGTTAAATGTTGGGGGAATACCGTGCCAAGAAAGCCATCGTAAATGCGGAAGGAGATACGAATTCTCCCGAAAAACATTAGCCGGAAGAACATTTGATGGTGATTCGTGCCAAAGAAGCCTCTCTTCAGCACAAAAATGTTCCTCCCAACAGTTAACTCGAAGAAACCCCACATTTGATATTCTCTTAAAGTCTTTACGGGTAAAACGGTACTGCCGCTCATGGTCAAAGTGTAGATGAAGAGCTTCAACTTTTGTTTTTCCCTGCCCAATGGTAAAATTTAGAAACTAAAGAGTTGAAGCGAAACACATTTATTCAAGTTCACTATTTTAAGGGGTTGAGTTGGAGTACTATCGTTACTTTAATCTTGACAGAACAAAAATATTGGTTTGAGTAGGTCACAGTAGTGCTAGAGAACACAAAAGAGTAACTGGATTTTTTATAAAAAAAAATGTCCACAAGTAACATGGAGATTTATCGCACGGGGGATTTTACCTTACGTCTCCTCAGCAAATCCAATGCTTCCTTGGGATCCCATACCCTCCTTTGCTTCTCTATTTTCATCTTACTTTCTTGACGAGCCATTTCTCTTCCGAAATCTCTGAGTTGGTCATGCATCAACACTTTATTATACTCTCCAATCTTTATCAAAGACATGTTCTGCAGAACTTCCATATCTACTTTTGGAAAAAATTTAGATTTTTCCCAGAAATGGACCACAATGTCTTTGTCATGTCCAATGAAAAAACAAGCTATATCGAGGAATATATGTTGTTGTCGAAGTTCTAATGCATCATAACTTATTTTTAGCTTACTCTGAATATCCACATGAGGAACCTTTTCCAACTTCTCCAATATGTCATCCCAGCTTTTCTTTTCAGTGCGAGATAAAAGTGAACCTATGACCTCAAGAGCTAGCGGAAGACCTCTAGCAATGCCTATTGCCCTCTTGGATTGGTCAATATACTCAATCAAAGGAGAGTCTCTTCTGAAAGCATGTTTGCTAAAGAGTTGAAGAGATTGACAGTCATCCATGCCATTAACCTCATAAGTGCAGTCCACTTCCGGAACAATGAGAACATCTTTCTTTCTTGTAGTAATAATTAGTTTGCTCCCTTCACCAAACCAATCACCATTTCCTACAAGTGCATCCATATGATCCTTTTCTGCCACATCATCGAGAAGAAGGAGGACTCTTTTATTAGACAACCTGTCTTTAATGGTCTTAATCCCTTCATCAATATTTCTTATATCCATCCATTTCGTGTTGAGGATGTCAGAGATGAGCTGATGCTGCAAGCGGTGAATGCCCTCGAGTTTTGAGGTTTCACGGACGTTAGAAAGGAAGCAACAACCATCGAATTTTTTTTTTTTTTGGGTTTTTTGGGTAAAGCCCTCGAAATTTTTTTTAAGCTTATTGTAGATGATTTTGGCAATAGTCGTCTTTCCGATGCCACCCATCCCGTGGATTCCTATAATCCGTGTTTCACTTGTCTCAGCACCTATCTTTTCCATGATTGCGTCCACATGGTTGTCGACACGGACCAAGTAGTCTGATACCGCTAGATAACCCTTTTTCAACTCGCTGAAAACCTTATGGGTAAGTTCTTTTGCGAACTCTCCTTCTCGCCTAGTGTTTGTTGGAGGCAAAAGACAATGAGTTAGAAAATTGTGTTGAATTAACTATGTTCTGACAAGACCAAATTAAATTCGGAATGTGTTCTTCAAGGATTTATTCCATTGTAGATGAATTAGCGTTGGTACTTACAGTTAATGAATGAACTAAACTGGAAAAAAAATGATGCTTGGAATAAATTGGGACAAAATTGGGATTGTGCCATTACTTAGCGGGATTTCAGCAGTATAACTTCAATAACTCAGAATTCAATTTAAACAGGGCTAACAAAAATCTAGAAAAGAAACCTGAAACACATCAAGTTTTAATGGTACAAGGTACATGAGATGGAATGCTTAAAGCAATCACCTGTTCTCCTTCTTGCTATGCAGGTCCCATCCGTTTATTGCTCCCACTGCACTGAGAGCATCCTTCCACCCTTGAATAGTCTTTTCGTCGTGTCGCTTCTTGTTTTCATGTGCAAGAAAGGCCTGTGCATAACCCTCTGTTTGGTGCCGAACCTCTGAAGGCGCCACATCATAAAAAATAGGGATGATCTTTTGTCTTCCAGTTTTCTGGCACTCGACCATCTGGACTAACTCCTTGAGACACCATACGCTAGAGGCATAGCCTTTCGAAAAGATAGGTATTGAGATCTTCGACTGATTAATTGCTTGGAGAAGTTCCGGGGCAAACTCTTCCCCAACGCGGAGCTCTTCGTCGTCCTTAAACGTGCGGATTCCTGCATCTTTAAGACTAGTGTAAAGGAAGTCGGTAAAACCTGCTCGAGTATCTGGTCCTCTAAAGCTCAAGAATACTTCATAGTCATATCCTGATGAAGTAGCCATTCCTTGACCTTCTGTTGAAGTGTGAGTAGAAGAAGCGCCTCCTGCTGTCCCATCATTTTCACAGATGCGTCTATTTTTTGCCCTCCCCTCCATTTGATCTCACTTGATCTTCTCTTCAAGGAACAAAAATTGAAAAGTATAGCAGCAAAAGCAGTGGCAGCAAGAGATGGAAAATGTTTAGAAGCCAGAACTAACAAACGGAGATCTCGGTGGGTCATTAAACGTGGACGACACGGTTGGCTAAATATGCAGAGAGTCAGGGTCTCCAGTTTGCTACAGTTGGTCAATAAGAACGTTTCATTACAGCCTGTCAAAGTTGACGAATGCAGGTTTTTTCAAAACCGAAGTGGTCCCTCCCAACTCAATTCTTCTCTTTTATCTTCACCGTCATAACGCAATTGAAAAAACAGGAAGATACAATTGCGGAGTAAATAAACTAGTGGAATTCTAAAAAGATGGGAGCAATCGAGTACTTTCGGTTATGATGCTCTTCAATTTTAATAATCTTTGTCTTTGTGGAGTTTCTGACAACACCGCGTTGCGATGAATGCCCCGCGCACTTACCCGCGGCGCGTTTTCGCTTGTACATAATTGTAGGGTCACTTTCGGGGTTTGGATGTCGAGTCGGGGTTATTTTGGGGAAAACAGCCCCTCATCTGGTCATATGAGTTGTTGTTCCTGTGCCTGATCGCGGAGATTTTCTTTGACGTTTTTGTTCTCCCCCGCGTGCAGATAAATGAATTATTGGTGTGATTCCGTTTTGTTTTGGTCGATGTGTGATTCCTTCTTGAGAAATCTGGTTCACGGACTGTTCGTAGTCCAAGTCTTCGAATACTTTGACTTTGCCCTTCTAGTTCTGGGACACACATCTCCTCCCCCCCAACGCTGTTCTTTTATTTTATTTTTTCTTTGGAGAGTGGTAACTATTGCAATTTTTAATCTAATGATTGTATTTCGATGCCAGGCAAAACTATATTTATATGGCAATTTCGTAATTTCCATTTAGTTAAATTAGACAGTATCAACTTTTCTGATGATTGATGACACGATTGGTTAGTCTATTTAAATATCAAAGTTTCTCTGAACATATAGTGTTTATTTTGTAAGTATTTTTCAAGTTTCTACATCAATTTTGTGGTAACTGAACATTTCGTGTTTCTCCATAGAAAATAGCCACTTTGCAACTAAATTTTCACAATACTGACTCGACGACAACCAACATAAGCAGCAGCTACCAAAATCATCTTCTATCAACTGTTCTTTAGCCAACCAAAGTCACCCGTAAAGAGTTGGCATGTACAATATCATAAGCTTTTTAGAGTCCGGATTATGATCAATCCAATGATGAATAAACCGAGCATTGTCTCCCTTCCATTAATCTCACTTGATCTTTTCTTCGAGAAACGTTTCAAAGATGAAAAAAGTTCAAAAGCCCTACTTAACAAATGCTGCCGGCCAAAAAAAAATCATTTATCAAATGGTGGCCGCCTATTAATCAACTATCAAAGTAATAAACCCACCAGAGACCTCAATCGGCGTTCACGGCGAAAGTGGCCAACAAGAATCCAAGGAAAAGCTGGTTCAAAAAGCAAAGTGATAATGAAAAGACATAAAGCAATACAACCAAGAAAAAGAAGATGGGTCAACCTAACGCCGAAAAGAAGACCCTGCCAATGCTTTAGCGTGCCTTTTTGTTGTCGACAAGATTTTTTCCCTTACCCAAAGGAATTTATTTTCATAGTTATATTCATGAAAAATTGTCACTGAGATCCTGTTTTACCATCTTCTTTATTTAACTTAGGGTTAGTTTGTTTGATGAAAAATCATTTTTGAGAATAAAATTTCCGTACTTTTCCGGTATTTGAGTTACGTGAAATTATTTGATCAATATAAAATGTTTATCATGGACTAAAAACAATAAACTTAGAGAATAATGATTTGGTAAGAAAGAATCGTTTTTCCTTATCTCTTGCTGCGTTGAAGTGAGAAGAATATATTTCATCAGTGCTAAATTTTCTTACATTCCCGAAAACAAGATCTTATATAATACTTTACAAATATGGTTTCATAATTTTTATCCTAATTTCTTTGTAATAGTTGTTATTTTGATTGGATTACAGATTAAACAAAGACGATATCGATTCGAGTTTATTAGTCATTATATGTTACTTTTAACGATACTAGCCGCCTTTAATGGATTTCACTTATTACCAATTACGATAAAATCAATTTTTTCAACTTGTTTTCACCATAATCAACTTTTTTTAATTTACTTTCTCTGAAATTAAATTTCCTAAAAACATTTTCCTATGACAAGAAAATCCTCACCGAGATAAACACACTCAAAAGTTTGTTTTTATGTGATTTTCAATTTTCATATGATGATATTTGATAGGAGGGAATCGCAAGATGAATCATTGGTGTGATTCCTTCTCGAGCAAGTTGGTTCATGGACTGTTCGTAGTCCAAGTCTTCATAGACTTTTGACTTTGCCGTTCTAAACCCGTGATGTTTCAGTCTTCTTGCACCAATCGTACGCTGTTCTGTCTTTTTTTCTTCTCTCTTTCCGAGAGTGGTAGCTAATGTTAATACTACGTTAAAACGAGGCCTAGGGAGCTTAGGTTTTAGATTGTTGGCGTCCGCATCAAAATCAAATCGACCAATCTCATGCAACTATTAATCTAATGATTACATTTCGATGCAATACCAAACTATATGTATATGACACATTCCATTTTCATTTAGTTAAATTAGACAGTATCAATTTTTTTATTTGATTGATGCCATGAATGGCCAAATTATTTAGAAAATAAAGTTTTTGCTTGCGAGTATTTTTCTAAGTTTCTAAATCAATTTCGCGGTAACTAAACATTTCATGTTTCATGATAGAAAATAAAATCTTGTTAGATCCGGAGGTGTAAAAATGTTCCATTCCTGAATTCACAAGTTCTTAAGTCTTTTTAGACATAAATCCTAGTTTGACCAACAAAAAATTTAAGATTGAAGATATTAAATCACGATAACTCGATGAGTCAAAAAAACCTCTTGGGAAGTATCAAATTTCCTGAATTAAGACCAATGAAAAATTAAATTTGTTCTTTGATAGCTTTAGCTTTGATTATACTCTACTAAGCTTTTGGTTTAGTAATAGAAAGTTCAAAAGTCTCATTGCAGATTTTTTAAATTAGACCCCTTTCGTTCGAATCGAAATCAACTTTCCTCCGTTAGCTCAAAAGCTCGGGCGAAGAAGAGAAAATAGGTGGTATCCCACTGCCTGACTCCTAGTCTTATCAAAAGAAAAGAAAGACTTTTCGTATAGATGCACGGCGGCCTTAAGTATCAAGACCCTTTGTTCCTCCTTCACCACAGAACATTAAGGAACTAATAATAGGAAGATTTTTTTTAATGACTTTTCGGTAGGTCATTGAACTTGGAGAAGCCAAAGGATTGGGTGAATATGCAAATAGCCGTGGGCCAGTTTTGCTGCAAAATTGGTCAATAAGGATGCTTCCTCGAAGCATCGCTCCCAGCCTATCAAAGTTGACAATTATTTGCGTTCCTTAACGCGGCAAAATCATTGGACATGTGGTGCAGAAATTTTGGGGATTACAATCAACTTTTGCCCCCCAAACAAATAAACGGGAGGATTCATTCAAAGTCGAAGTCAACAAAAGCAGACATCAAACTTCCAACCAAGTTCGTTTCCCCCCATCCTAATCAAGGTGAACTCCGGTCGGTCCAGTTTGATGGGCTGATCGGGCCAAGAAATAAAACCAAGAAATAAAAGACAAGTGTTGTGATGGCATACGTTAGACAAGGGGCCAAGGTAGAAACTGTGAAATTATCTACTAAACTCATTTGTCAAATCTGCGATATAGACATCTTGCTGCAATATAAAATCAAAAGGCCAGGACTTTTTCCAAAGAAAATTAAGATTCCATGTCAACTTAATACGAAACTGAAAATTTATGTTCTCCATGATAAAGTAGATAGTTAAGGACATTTTTTAATAGCAATTTGGAAAGCTCAAGATTCTCTAGATCTGGAAAATTCAGTTTTTCCAAAAATGACTTTTTTATAAAAGAAAATGAGAACTGTTTGTATTTTCACACTTGTGTAGTATCTATTTTCACGAATCCATTCATTCACTTGCTAAGATGATTTGATCAATATCTTAATATATCAATTCTAGTATTCTTATTAACATTACTTGTAAATAATCCGGATTTATTTTGTTAAACTTCAAATGACGAAAAGCCCGAGCTTATTCAGTAAACGTGCACATCTTTTTTAACAACGTTGATGAAAAAAAACCACTTATTGCTAGCAATTGTAATTAAATTGCCATTAAGTAAATCACGCGAAATGGTGAACGTGTGTTATTTTACAAATTATCATTGAAAATCTCCGGAAATTATTGAATTTGTGTTATGGAATCATTCATCAGATGCTGCCGGCCAAAAAAAGGAAATCATCTAATCAAATGGGGGCCGCCTATCAATTAACTATTGAAGTAGTTAACCCGCCGGGGACCTCAACCGTCATTCACGGCGAAACGGCCCGAGAGAATCCGAGGAAAATCTTGTTAAAAGAGCAAAGTGATAATAATGAAAAGATACAAAGCAAAGAAAAGGAAGATGGGTCATGCTAGCGTGGAAAAGAAAACCCACCAACGCTTTTTAGTGTGCGCCTCTTGCGTCGTCGGCAAGACTTTAGTCAAAAGTAGCCAGCAAGGCAAAAGAAGAAGAAGAAAAACAACAACATGAAGATGCATTTCGGTGGCAAGAAATCATTCACTATTGCTCCTTCCTGTTTTGCCTCTTCTTGTCCTGAGGAATTCCTTTTCATGGTGCGGTAATAAGTTTCTAAATCAATTTCGCGGTAAGGTAATATGTTAAATGAAGGCGGAATGAAAATTTTAAAAGCGAGATGAAATAGTGTTTTGGCTTGTAGATATATGGATATTCAAAGCCGGTCGAAGCACACGTATTTGGCAACACAATGATTACTATGTTTGGTAAAAACTGCTGCGAGATTATTGTAGTTACAACAACATTTATGTCTTGTAGTACTGGAACTATTGTAAATACCAATAATAACAACAATGATTGTGGAACTTTTCTTGCATTTTTGTCTTTTGGGAACTCAAGATTTTTCCAATTACACCATCCATAGAGTCAAACCAGGAATATACATTTTAAGAGCACATCATCTCCAACTGAAATACCAAAGCTTCCAGGTTTATACATGAGATTGCAGACGAAAAAATAAGGCAACACAATGCTGAACCCTAGATATACACAATCTACTTAAAGCCCAATTAGGCGGCGACCAAAACCATCTCAGCTACGGGTGGATAATGTATCCAACTGCAAGGGCAACAAGAACGACCGCACAAACATACAGGAAAGGAAATCCCACTTGAATTGCTCTCCCACCTGTCTTCCTCAACATCTCCTGTTGAACAAAGCAACAATCTTTCCCCGTAAGCTTTGGTATTCGAATGTTGAAAGAAAGTATATTGCACCATATCTTGGAGATGAGGCAAGATTGGCATGATGCACGTAATGGGGAAAACATTAAAGTGCACAGTACTCACCAGGTCACGCCTAAGTGCATCTCTCTCTCGATTCTGCAAACTTCTCTCCTCTGTCAATCTGCTGATGGTAAGCTCTGCCTGCAAAGTTTGGTGTGTCTTTTGCTATTATCTTCTTTGAAAACTCAAAGATGGAGAGAGGTAGGAAGATAAGCAACATTGAAGAGGAACGGAAACCACAAACTTGCAGCGGAAGTCACAGAAAGCTGTCTGCTTTGAGATGCATGACAGACTACGCATATGGTCATTGTTATCTTCATGGCCAAAAAACAATTATTTCTCTGGGAATCTAATTAAGTTTTATAAGATTCACATCCAAATAGAGGAATAATATTGTACTTTAAGCTCCGCTAATGCCTGCAAAGTTGCTATTATCTTCTTTGAAAACACAAAGAAAAGGGGAGAGGTAGAAAGACAACCAACATAGAAGAGAAACCGAAAGCACAAACTTGCAACAAAAGGCACAGGAAGCTGTTTGCTTTACGATGCATGACAGACTATGCATATGGTCATTACGGTCTTCATTATTCCTGCAAAGTTTTGGTCCGTATTTGCTATAAAATTCTTTGAAAACTCAAAAAAGGGGAGAGATGGAAAGAAGAACAACACCGAAGAGAAATGGAAAGCACAAACTCGCGACAGAGGGCACCAACTGCTTGCTTTAAGATGCATGACAACCATGCATATGGTCATTTTTTTCTTCACTACTAAAAAAAACAATTATTTCTCTGGGACTCTTATAAAGTTTTATAAAATTTACATCCAAATAGAGGAATAATAAAGTATTTTATGCTCCACTGCTGCATCATATGTACATATATGTTCAATGCAACCAAAAGAATCATGTTTCTCACATGAAAATCTCTCCCCAAGCAGGAAAAGTTTATAAGTGTCTGAAACATAGTCTAGTTTATTGCAGCTAAAAGAGTACGTGCGCTACACATTTTCACAGATAAACTTGACCGTAAAAACCAATGAAATAGTTTGTAAGTTCAGGGGAGCAAAGTATAAGGATTTAAAGTTTAGGACCCAAGCGTAAGAGAGTGAAAATTCAGAAAAGTAAACTGAAAGGCTTAAACGTTTGGGGTTTAATGAGTTCGGGAAGGTAAAGTGAGAGGATTAAAAGTTTAGGGTTAACGTGTAAGAGGGTAATAAGTTAGGGGGATGAAGTGAAATTTTCCCCAGTTCCTATATAGAAGAGATCCGTAGTCATTTCACTCTCTAAATGTAAAATTAATGAAAACCAGAATTAATTTTCCGATTATGAAGAACAAATTCTTCTCCTGCCTTCAAGATAATAGAGTATGTTATTCTGAATTAATTGATTTTATTCATTGCCATCAATAATTGTATGTTAATGTGACAAATCATGCTTTTGCTTTTAAAGCAGTGGTTTATGTAAATATAAGCAAATGGCCTCTTAGCAATCAAGCATCACCCTCCAGAACTCAGAAGAAACACCAGCTTATTTCTGTTAAGCATGGTTTTTGAAATCATCCTCTCTTCCGTCTCCTCTTCTCATCTGTATAAAATGGGTATTGCCTGTGTAGTGAAAGTGTAACTGTCCTCCTAATGATCTCACAGGCAAAAGTTGACCTAAGTTCAAATTAAGCAGGGGAAATAAGCTAACCTCTTTTAACTTTGAATCCACCAAGCTGAGTCTTGATTTTAACTCCTTAAAATCCTCTGACACGTCCAACCCCTCAGGATCCTGGCATCAAAAGACAATCCTTCCGAATTATAAGAGTGAGGGCAAAAGTTATATCCTATGATTTCCATGTTTCATGAGACGTAGAAACGTATTCAAATACGGTCAAGATGAGAAAAAAGCAACTTCATACAATCGCGTTTAGTTGATAAAAAGGTATCAATTCATCTGCAGCGACTAAATTCAATTCACATACCAATGACATGCAACCCAGTCAAGGCTGTGTCAAAGCCCCAATACATATATTAGATACAATGCCATCTCAATCCAGAAAGGCAATAAAGTGACATATTGATGTTTTCTGGTCGTCATACCCTGAGAGGAGATGATACATTTTCAACTCCAGCAGGTGAGACATCCTTTAAAACAGTAGTCTCGGAAAATGAATCTTGCTTCCGTTCTCCACAAACTGGCAGCAACAATGGTGATTGCACTGGACTGGTGAGGACTACTTTTATTTTCCTCTCCTCTACATATTTACCACTTCCTTTATCAAACTGCCAATTGTAAAGAAAATTACTCAAGTTACTTAACCTGAAAGAATAGGGAACATATAGCAGCAAAACCTACCACATCAGCAGTAATGTCCTCTTCACTTGTCCCAAAAGGGACAATAGTGCCCTGTATCAAAAACTTGTCTCTACACTGCAGGACAGGTGGAGCTACCTGCTGTGCTTGCATGGTAACTGCATCAAACAGAAGATAGGATGAAAAGCCTGCTCCAATTCTTTGGAAGTATCAGAACATAGCTTTTTACGTCTATCATAGTTTTCCACTATCTCAATGTACTTAGGCTACTATAATAGACATTTAAAATCTAATTCAAAGATTATCCTTGCTGCAATGCGACTGACTCTACCTTAAGCAGTTCATATACCAGGAACAATAAATTCTACTTGACATGTCATGGCAAAGAAACTGCAGAAGAATCATTCAGCTGATTCAAGTACTGTGGGCGTGTCCCCTCACAAGTATGCGAGTGGCTATAATAAATATGTAAACATGATGTTTCTCAGACTTGAGTAGCATACCTGTGAAATCAGATGCTCCATTTGGCTTGATGATGCCTATATTTGGCCGCACACAGTATTTCTTTGGAGATGTAGTCTTAACCTGGAAGGTTTTAAACATCCAATACAGAGTTCATAGTAAATCTCCATAATCAAGAGTTCTTAATGCACTGTTATCCTACTCCGAAAAATAAATTGCATCAGGAGAATACAAGATCAACAGGAAAATGTTCCCCTGCCATAACCTAAAAGAAGAAAAACACGACCATGTTGAAAGAACAGTTTCAAAGAATTCCTCACCTTGAAAGCAACATACTGATCGGTCTTATTGCCTAGTTGAATCGAGCAGGAGCTTTGTTTCCTCAACTCAACTGCATAAACACAGAGAAGAGGCTTCGGATTAAAAGACTTAATGAGAAAGGGGGCACGTCAGGAGAACAGGAAATGATGAAACGTATCTGAAAATATAATGCAATAACAAAATCTCATTTCACACGTATCCTATATTAATCATTCTCTCAGTCATTTTATTAGAATAGCCAGTCGCATACATTCAATCCAGAAACATAATCACTCACAAGGCATTTTAAGAATTTGTCGTGAGGGGACAGAAACTACGCGAAAGAGAAAGAAAAAAAAACCTGACCAAATATTCAACAACACAAGGAAAAAGAATTTGAAATTAGGTCGACTGGTGACTATTTCACACATGCCACTGAAGCTCATGCCTCAAGATTATGATTTATGCTGTTGAACCGCAAATTCTCAGGCAAATTATCGTCGAACAAAAGGATATTCTCGCCTTCAGTCATTGCACAATAACAGAGAGAGGCAAGCAAAGCAAATTCAATCTAACTCCAAAATGGAAAAAAAAACGAACCAAACTCGCAGCACTAATGTACTCACAAATAAACTTGAGTTCATGAGGCCTGATCTCCAAGAGCTCTTCGGCCATGACAACGACCGCAGCACCCTGATCCATACGAAACAGCCGCGTCACGCAGCAGGGTAACAACAGTCAGGCAAAAAAGCTTCGCAGTTAGAAAAGTAAAACATAAAGCTCAATTTCAAGCACCCATTCCTATAATCCAGCACGTCCAGCAGTCTCGAGCGCATCGCTCATTTCACCAAACACCGAAATCGCACATCATCGCCCCAACACCAGACAGGCACAAAAAGCTTAGACGATTCACACTCGCTCGCGCGAAGCATGATTCGGCACACTAATTACCCACACAATCCAATTCAGGATTTTACAAAAGGAACCCGATCACCGCATCGATCCGTTCCCAGACACGCGTTGCCGGCTCGAAAGACGCAAGCGCCGCGATCACGATTACGTTCCAGCGCAGGAACTCGAGACCGGCGACGACGATCCGACGCTCGGCGATCGCGATACGGTTCCGAATCTGATGAGGAAGCGCCCCAAAGGAAGGGAAGAACACTTACCGTCAACGCGCGGATGAGCGAGAGCGAGAACGATCGAGCGAGAGAGAGAGAGAGGTGGAAGCGAAGGAACGACGATGGCGGAGGAGGAGGAGGAGGAGGAGGGAGTGGTGGTGGTCGTCGTGGTCGTGGTGGTGGTGGGGGTGGTGGGGGTTTGGTTGGGTTTGCAGAGTGGCGGTTGCGCCCGCTACTTATACATGTATGCAATTTTCAAAAGTTTTCGTCTCCGAGAAGTTAACCCCCTTTTCGAGCGCCGGTTCCTTAAAAAATCGGCCGCTGAAAAGTCTAGATTTTTACATTTTAGTCCTTGGAATCTCTCTCTAAGGTCTCGCTTTTCACATTTTAGTCCTTCGAATCTCTCTCTCTCTAGGCTTGTCGTGCTTGTGGGGGTAGAGATAGAGAGGTCAGGGTTAGATTTGAAAAGAGAATTGAAAAGGTGGGGGCCAATGTTGGATTTTGGTTAAAATAATGGAAGATGTATATGGATATAGGAAAACAATCCGTTCCCTTTGGATGTTTATCACGGGGGAAAAAATTGATTTGTGAACGTAATGGGGCACGAATTTTGTGCCATAATTTGGAGAAAGTGAGAGATTATTTTCCTTTGGAGTAATATGTTGTTTTCTTGTAAGTTGGGATGGAGACCGATTGTAGGAAAATTGGCCCTAAAAGTTAGATGTCGCTTATATCTGTACTGCGAATAAAGTCGGCTTTTGATAAATTTTCAGATATTGGATACACTCTTATCTCATCTCGATAGGGCCGACATATCCATTTTGGTACTCAGATTTATTGTGCCCAATTTTGCATGGGTAATATGTCATTTTCTCAAATGGATCGTAAATGGGTTGAGAAAAAATAAAGTTTAAAAAAATAAGTCACATATGAGTCCCTTTAGTGATGCATATTTTAACCCGTTTTCCAAAGCTCACACATCTCGATATAAAAATATATAGAGATAATATCAGATACAGTGTGTTATTAAATTCCTGTTCACGGCCACTTACTTGACAAATCATCTATTTTTTTTATGGTACATGACCGCATGTATCCTCACCTTTGAAATTCATATTAATATCCTCCTGGTAGAAATCATCCAAACTCATCTCGAATCGGCCACGACACAGCGTGTTCGACATGCTCGAAGAAACTAATTTAGCTAAAATGAAACTTATCCAAGGTCTCATCCTAAACCTTTTAAAGAAGGAGACGTGTTATAAAAAGTGGTCGATAAAGTCACTGGCGTTTTTCTTTTGCTGAGAAAAAGTCGCTGGCGTTAGAACCAAGGGACATGCGAAAACCAATAGCTAGCTTAATGTTGTACTTTCCCTAGCCTAGAGTCTCTCTCTGAACGCGAATATTTTCTTCTCTTGTATGTAATAATCTTAAGTTACTACATCTAACAAAATGTGAAAAAGATGAAAGATCAACATCTCATTAAAGCATCAGAAAATAGATTGATTGCAAGTCGGTATTGCAAGTAGGGGTGTGCAACCGGACCGGGTTTACCCGGAAACCGGACCAACCCACCCGAAAAACAGGTCCGGGAACCGGTTCTAACAAGAACCGGTCCGGGTACCGGTTCCATTTTTTGGGAACCGGTTAGAACCGGTCCGGTTTCCGGTTCTAAGTAAAAACCAACCCAAACCTGTTTTAGAACCGGTTTTAGGACCGGTTTTGAGATAATGTACAAAAAAGTAAAAAGCCTATATCACGTTACCCTACTTCACCGGTTTTAGAACCGATTTCCGGTTTAATATTGGAATATGTTTCACAACTATGAGCGAAACAGCACGGCCCTTAAAGTCATCTAAATATTGTGTGATTCAGATGAGATATATAGACATTTTTTTAGTGAGAGCAGATGCCTTACCGCCAAGTTTATTTATCACGTTACCCTACTTCACCGGTTTTAGAACCGATTTCCGGTTTAATGTTGGAATATGTTTCACAACTATGAGCGAAACAGCACGGCCCTTAAAGTCATCTAAATATTGTGTGATTCAGATGAGATATATAAACATTTTTTTAGTGAGAGCAGATGCCTTACCGCCAAGTTTATTGATTTTTCTTTCAAGATATTTCATTCGGAAACAGAAGTGAGAAGTTATCTCATCATGGCGCAAAATAAAGAGCTAAACATGTTGAATAAATTCCCTGGAAATGTGACTCTTAAATATTTATGCGATTGGACTATGTCTTGCCACATAGTGCTTTTGGATTGTTGATTTTGATGGATTGTAATTTCAATTGCTCATTTTGGGGATTGTTACTTTTGGCGGATAGTGGTTTTTGTTATACATCTTTTATTTTAAATTGTTTCATTGTTACCTATATTATTTTGCTAGAAAAAAATGAAACCGAAAAAGGAACAAAAAAAAAAATAGGTTCTCGGGTAGACCCTGAAACCGGACCGGAAAAATAGGGTTGGTTCCAAAACAGGGTCTAGGAAAAACAGGGTTGGTTTCAGGTTCCAAAAATTGGGAACCGGTTATAACAGGGTTGGTTTCAGGTTCTAGGTCCGGACCCAACCCACCCTGGAACCGATCACCCCTAATTGCAAGTCGGTCCTAGGCTCCTAGCAAACATAACGCGTCCTACACGGTTAGAGGTTTAGATTTGATCTGTTCACGAGACTCACGCGATGCTCGATTGGCCTCGGGGTAATCGGATCTCTGTGCTCATATTTTTGAATTACTGAAAATTAAGATAAAAGATACCACCGCCCGCAGCGGCTGCGTTGGCTTGCGCTCTCATCCCCCCACGAAAAGATCAGAGTTCGAACCTCAGCGTAGTCGTTAGGGATTCTTAAGTGTGGCGCTGTGGTGGTGGGTCCTGCGCTAGCGTCACCCCAGGTTTACCCCTCCGGCTGTCGGCCGTGCGGGGGTTCCTGGGTCATCAAAAAAATAAAATAAAAGATATCGTTTTCTATGATGTAATTTCCACTTCTAGTTTGCTATATCTAGAATAACACGTCTAGATTGATCAAAGAGTAGAATCTATTCGGCTTCGAAAGTTACCATGCGTTTGGTACGATTTTTCCGCACTTCCTATTGTCGGGAAATAGGGTCCTCTGTCTTTTCTATGCGTTTGGTACAAACCTTGCAGCTTCCTGCTAATAGGAGCATTGAAGTACTATAATCCTATTTAAAGATTATTTTATCAGGACAAAGTACCGATGCACAAACCCTTGCTTAATAATAAAAGAAACATAAGGGATATATTCACTGGAAGTCCTAAAATTTGTCATGAAAGTGCAATTAAGTCCTAAAAACTTATAAAAAGTGCAATTAAGTCTTAAAACTTGTTAAATTGGTTCGATTGAGTCTTAAAGTTAACATTATCTAACTTACTAACAGAAAATGCTGACATGGCCCTGACGTGTCTAAATTATTAAACTTAATACTAAAACAACGTCATCTTGACGCAAATTTGATTTTGAATACTAATTTTATTTAAAATAAATTTTAAAAAAATAAGCTAAATATTAAATTAAAAAGAAAAAAAGATGAGGAGGAGGACAGGCCAGGAGGGGCCGGCGAGGAGGGTTGGGGACGACAGGCGAGGGCCTGCAGGCCCTTGCCCAGATCTGGGCGAGGGAGTGGCGGCCCTCGGCCTAGTCTAAGCGAGGGCCGGCGACCCTTGCCCAGTCTGAGGGAGCACCGCGACCCCTTGATTGCCGTCAGCGAGGGTCACCAGCCCTTGGCCGGGGTCCAGCGACCCCTGCCTGTCCTCCTCTTCCTATTTTAATATTTAGCTTATTTTTAAATTTAGTTTAAATAAAATTAGTATTAGAATAAGTATAAAAAAAAAAAGCCACATAGAGTTGAAAAAAAAATCACGTCAACATTTTTCGTTAGCTAAATTGGACGGTGTTTATTTTAAAATTCAATTGAACTAATTTGATAAGAATGGCTCCAGAGCTAGAAAATAATAACAATAATAACAATTCAAGGATATTTGGGAATGAAACTTTGATTTGACTTGAAAATTTACAGGCAGAAACCAGTGACGGTATATAAAGCATGCACGAAACCTTGTCACAAGACTATACAAGCAAATAGCTACAAATGCTTGAACTACAATTTAATCACTCACTTCACCACCATATCAGACACAAAATTTTAAGGGAACCTCCCTCTAGGATCACAATTCAAGCACCCCATGCTTATTAAATCGCTCCGGATCCGCGCCACGCGGCTTCAGATCTTCTGGAAAATGAGCATACTGCTTTCCGACCCGATTTAACATCAGAAACTGGCTGTTCCATTAGTCCGGCCTTACTGCCATTGATGATTGCTGCGATCAGTCGGTGATCCGGGGACAAAGGGCACGAAACCTCGCCCTCCAAACACAGGGCGCATGAACGCATTGTCGAACTTCCGCCAGTAGTAGTGTACAGTGTTGGTAGGAGTTGTTAGAAGCATGCGTAAGCTCGACGGCCGCGGAACATTCTGGTTGCTCTCTATGCCCTGGCCATTGCCGAGGAGTGGCACGATGAAGGACTTGGGGGTAGTTGGCTCGGAGGAAGCCATGCGGACTAAGTGCATGGGCGAAGGAAGCAAGAGCCGGATGAGAGGTTTGGTCATCAGCCCGAACACCTGGAGAGACAGAGAGAGAG